TAATATGTTTTAATAAGGTGTTACAGATTATTCAATTTCATTTCTTTTTAATGTTTTTCTCTTTTACTTTCTCTAATTGTCTTTTTGAAATTATCTTATCTTTATCTCTTGTCCTTTTTAAATTTATAATTTCAGCTCTGCTGTAGGCATTATTTTGTAACATCATTTACTGATCAAGAACCTGAACCTGGAATCTATCTCATTCAATCATACTATTAAATCTTTTGTTTCCATCTGACAAGTTTAACAAGTTCTACATATTTTTTATTCAAAGTAAGTCACAGAATGTTTACTTTTTTTTTTTTTTTGATATTATTGGAGTTAAGAATAGTTGTGTTTCTTCTTAATTAAAATAACGGTAACATTTATCTTTAAATGCAAATTCTTTGGAATCAGTGTTGTTTTGAAAGAGGCCTTCTTTACTTTTTTTGCCTCGATGACTCGTGTGTTAAAGACAAGGATTTCAAAAGCCATTTTAATTGTTAATTCAATGTTTTCCTTTTAATTTTTTATTCACTTTTAAGCATTACCAATTGTTGATTACCTATTTTGATAGAGTGAGAGGGATTAGTTGACAATATAATCAATTAAATTTAAACATATTAGGAAAATACTTTACTATCATCTTTAATGAAAAAAATAAATATCAAAAGAATTAAAAATGAAACTGAATGGCAATGAGGAAAATAAAGTAAGACGAGGCATGATTTTTTTTAAAAGTACTATTATCAACCATTCACAAAGCAAAAGGAAAAAGAAAAATATAAACTATTTTTCCTCTCATTTTTACTTGCATATCTTTAATATTTATAAATAGGTTCTGATGATGACACAAAGCCCATTGACCATAATACATCTCTGCTAACCAAAATGGCAGTGCTCTAGACTCGTCAACATGAATAGGCAACTGTGTGTAAGTCTACGAGAAATAGAAAAAAAGGGAAAGAGAAATTACATTTAAATGTATTGGAATTGAAAAGCCAGGTAACGACATCCTCTTGACAACACTCGCATGCCAGCGGCGGCACAAGGCTTGATCTGAGAGGCTCGGTGTTGGTAAATGTGTGTGAGGGTCACTGAATGGGACCCACCGCCTCGTTCGGTACATCAAGGGGGGGGGGGTGCCAAAAATAAGGACGGCCAGTGAAACCGTTCGAAAGGCAGGGGGGGGAGGGGGTGTGAGAACACATGTCCCTCCTCCTCCTTCCTTCGCGTCACTACCCCTGCTCCTTCTCCTCGTCCTTGTTCTCCGGGCCGTGCTGCCCGGCGGCCCCCTCCACCCTTTGCGAGCTGCCGCGAAAGAAGTGGTCGAGCACGTCCTCCTCGTCGGAGTCTCGCTCGTAGTCCAGGAGCAGCGTGGAGGGCGGGAGATCGCGGCGGAGGGCGGCCAGCAGCTCGTCCTGGGCGGAAATTCAACCACAAGTCATTTATACAGGTAAGTCATTTCGGATGAAAATAAACAACAGTCGAGTTCCTCATAGTACTAGCAATTCCGAGTACTAGCAATACTACACGATTCCTTTACTGTTTTGGCCTAAGAAGCACAGATTTGCGAAGTGTTTTTCGTAATTTCCATGGCCTGCATACACAGGTGATTCTGAACAAAAGAAAACTTCTAATAACATATACCCTTTTTAAACCGTTTCAGGGTAAACTAATGAAAACAATTAGGAACGGAAAAACTGCAGGTGATAGTAAAAAAAAATACTGCTATGTTATGGTTTCATGACAACAAATGTTCAAATAGTAGACCTCCAACTTCAATGCATTTTGCTAACCTTGTAGACAGGTGTTGTGTTGCTGATCTGAGATCATTTCTGCATTCCTTTATATAATTGAGCACAAGCATGTAAAATACGAGCGAGCGGTTCCTCTCTTGCGCCCACTCTGCGCTAGTAGCCAACCTCACAAACAGTAATCCACTGGGTAAGATCGTGTGACCTCGGTGGCCAAGCAATGACTCCACGGCGACCCATCCAACGAGCAGGATTCGTTGAGATACTCTATCACTTGCCTTAAGGAATGTGCAGGGGCTCCGTTGTGCTGAATACGACCTCGTGTTGCCAAAGGGGTAACCTCCACTTATTTTGCTAACACATTTTGAAGAAAATCAAGATACCGTGAATCCTCCGGTTCTATTTATTTTCATTGGTTTACCCTGAAACGCTTAAGAAAAGGTTATTTGTTTATTAGAAGTTTTTTGTTCAAAATCACCAGAAGTATAACCTCTCAAAGCATGTACCTCCTCCTGACTCACCCTGAATGTCAACGGAAATTTGTCTTCATTTCCAAGGCTGGCCAATGAGGTCTGGCGTGACTGCAGGACCGCGTGCGATTTAGGGCAGCCAAACTATGTACCCCAATTCTATCAATTCACAAATTTGATTTTTCATTACTTGTATCCGAAAGAGCAGATTTTATTCGACAATAATTGTAAATATCCTCAACGTTCACACCCATTGTAAGCACAACCTTCTGGGCGTTATAGAAAGGAAATCGTCACGAAACTGCTATGCGGGAGCGATACTTTTCTCAGGAAAATGTAAACATTTGTTTATCATACTGAAGACATCTATGGTCATTAGTTCCTGAGGTGGAGAGCATATCTTTGGAGATGGCGGTGGTCATTCACTGGTGCAACGTGAGATCCGTCACCAACCTACACTTATCATCGCCAGCGGAACAGACACCGGGTTGAGAGAAGCTCAAAGCTTCCGACTGGACTCTCAACACGAGTGGCAGTGAAGTGCATCTAGGTGTACTAGACATAAGTGTTCGTAACGAGAAAGGAAAGAACAATGATGGAGGAAAGATCGCGCGCGTCCCATGGCCTGGTTGTAAAGGTATTGCTCCGGTATTCGTCGAACTCATCTGCAAAACCACAGAAATCAACCCACCAGAGCAGCGGCCATCTACAACGTCCCCCCAGACAGCGGCTGAATTCAACCTAGCTAACGGCAAAGGTGGCTCAACTGATCCCACTGCAATGTCTCGGACTGGGAGGTCCTAGGGTTCGAATCTTGACCTGGCAGGACTTTCGACACTAGCTTGACAGCTAGGACGAATTCAGCCGCTATCTGGAGAATTCCAGTGGCCGGCTGTTCTGGTAAACAGTTTCCCGTGGTTTCTACGATCAACACCAGGGGAATGTCTGCGCAGTACCCTAATCAACCGGCCGTGGGCCATGCACGATCTTTCCTTCCTCTTCCTTGTCCTACACATACACACACTTATAATTATGTGCACTACACTACGGAACATACCTAGTGACCAGCCAGGAGCTTAGAGCTTGTCCCGGCAAGGGGGGTGCCCCACTAGTGAGAGATACCTGGTTGGGGAAAATACCAGAAGCCGACGTAGGTCGGCGCGGGATCTCGCCATTCAGCGATAAAAGAACACCATCACAACCACAACAGGAAAAACATGCACTACGCTTACGCGACCTTAGCAGTTGACGGACTCTGAATCACTAATCAACCAATCAATCGATCGAATAGTGAGAGCGTAGGTTTCCGCGGCCGGAGCCAGTATTTACTAGGCTGTCCGGGTGACACCGCGTCCAGGGCGAAGGTGGCGACGTTTCGGTCGCCATTCTGCGACCTTCCTCAGGGCGTAATTCTACTTGGCATTCTGCGACCTTCCTCAGGGCGTAATGCTACATGGCATTCTGCGACCTTCCTCAGGGAGTAATGCTACTTGGCATTCTGCGACCTTCCTCAGGGAGTAGTGCTACTTGGCATTCTGCGACCTTCCTCAGGGAGTAATGCTACTTGGCATTCTGCGACCTTCCTCAGGGCGTAATTCTTGGCATTTCTGCACCTTCCTCAGGCGAACGCTACCTTCGGCATTCTGCGACCTTCCTCAGGGCGTAATGCTACTTGGCATCTGCGACCTTCCTCAGGGCGTAATACTGGATCTGACTTGCAAGCACTTGCTCGCGACCTTCCTCAGGCGTAATGCTACTTGGCATTCTGCGGACCTTCCTCAGGGAGTAAGTGCATTTGGCCTTCTGCGACCTTCCTCAGCAGTAATGCTACTGGCATTCTGCGACCTTCCTCAGGGCGTAAACGTACTTGGCATTCTGCGACCTTCCTCAGGCGTAATGCTACTTGGCATTCTGCGACTTCCTCAGGGCGTAACGGCTTACTTGCATTCTGCGACCTCCTCAGGCGTAATGCTACTTGCATTCTGCGACCTTCCTCAGCGTAATGCTACTTGGCATCTGCGACCTTCCTCAGGGAGTTAATGCTACTTCATTCATCTCTTCTCCC